CAATTACTCTTAAAGCCAGGAAGCTGGTGGCCCCATCTGTGGACCTGCCTCTCTTGGTGCAGCTGTATCTGGTGAGCTCTGTGCTCAGAGTCATTCCTCATGCTTGTCCCCCTGTCTACCTGCAGGCCTGTAAAGTACCAAGCAATGGTTGCCTGGGAGGGGAAAAACCATATATTTTGGATGACTCAGTAATGAAAATATAGATAGGACTAGGTTAGTGCAGCTTCAGAAGCCAGCATGTAAAATACTCTAGTTACGAAGTCTTGCTGGAAAGTTTACAGGCCTTTGTAGATCCTGAGAATATTTACAGATCACTTCTGTTTCAATTTTAGCTCCTTCCTGCCCAGAAATCCTGATACAGAAGAGTACAACATTCATTTTTTAAAAAAAGGTGGAATAGTTTAGAAAGTATTAAAAAAACATCACAGAGGGGCACTGTATGACCTCCTAGCAGTGCTAGTTGTGTGCATTGGGCCTGTGTGCTTCCTACAGAGGCATTTTCTTTCTGGGAAGGTGGTGAGGCATCCCTTGGGAGGCTCAGGCAAACCCAGAGAAAATCAATGGTGAAAAGCATTTTCTTCTCCGTGCTGGAATGCCTCATAGTCAGCCGCAATAGTCCATTAAGCCACTGCTGTGACCTGAAGTAACTCGGCAAACACTATGAATAGGCTGCCCAAACTGTATGTTTGCTTATTTTTGTCTTCTTTTTCCCTTCTTTTAAAAGAGAGATCCCTTCCATTGCTTCCCTCACAAATATCCCTTGGCTCTATTTTTTCAAGCCTAAGTATCCAGGCTAGCATTTTTAGCAGTATGAGCTGCCACAGTTTTGTTCCGGTTAATTGAGCAACTCTGATTTACACCGGGAAGAAGCTGGTCTGTTTGTGCCTGCAAGGAAGCCACATGCTGTGCTCAGGCTCTGTCTGTTCCTCAGCCCTCTGCAGCTCCCAGGGGGAAAAAGCCGTTATCTGCACAGGTGTGGTGGCTCTAGTTTGAAGGAATATGTGCACCGTGGCTTTTCAAAGCGGTCAGCATAAGGTTCAGCAGCAGGTGCTCCTGGGGAAAACGAGGTGCTGGAAGAGTTTGCCTTTCCAGCTGCCTGCTTCTCCCACCTGTTTGCTGTTTATATCTTCAGCGAAAAAAAAAGAAAACCCCTACAAAAACTCAGAGCTGTCCAGGCAAAGGGTGCTGGGAGTCCAAGTCTGAAGGCATTGATCCAAAAATCACTTACAACGATAGCACTCAGGCACGTGCGTATTCCCATTCAACCACCTGAGATGGCTAAAAACCCCCCATTGCCTGGGGAAGTGGGAAACCTCTTCGCATGAAGCTCCTCTGGACTCTCTGATTGTTCCAAGTAGCAGTCCAGTTGTTTTTTTTTTTTTAATAATGTCTCACCTTGCTTGTAATTCCTGACTCCTCACAGCTGCAATAACATTACTATGGATCTTGCCTGGTTAAAAAAATAACCAGCCACAAGACAAACTTTTAAATGTTCAAGACTTTCTTTGGTTCTGAATAGGAAAAGCAACCTTCAACCTAAAGACAAGTATAGGGAAAAAACGTACCAAGTTTAATGTAATTGTGCTAATCAGACAATTTAAGAGAAACATTAATGGAATAAGAAGGGATAAAGGGTTCTTAGTAAAGGCGGGAGTGAGAGAGTTGCTAATTCATTTGAGACAAAAAGGCAGCATTAATTATTATCGGTGAATCATTAAAAGGTTAGCTGAGGTTGGGGTATGGGGAAAAGTATTTTGTGCAAAAGAATTAGTCTCTCTGAGGAGGTATGTTTTTTAGTAGACACGAGAGAGGGAAGAATTTCAGCTCCTAAATTCCTATTTTGCAAGTTTCCTATCACCCTCGGGACTAAGATGGAGTCACTCTTTTGTGATTGATGTGCTTGCATTGGTAACTAGATGTTCCTGTGCTTTAGGGCCTGTCTTTTGACATCTCATTCTGGTGCCTTCTGGTTGTCTCATTTACATGTCTGGTTTCCAAGAGGGCATGTGGTGCTATGCGGGCAGCATACCACCTGCTGGAGGCAGACATACAGGACCCATGGATTTTGATGGTTCTGTTACAGGGAAGTGTTTGCCATGGTGCTGGCAGGGCTGCAGCAGCAAGTTTTCTGTCGTTGCCTTGGCCTCATGAGCCAACCCAGCCTGGAAGGACTGGGCTGCTCCCAGCCGTATTAGTCTGATAACAGAGACCACTTCCGCTCCAAACCTTGACTAGGCAACGGTAGGACAGGCATTTCTTTAAAGAGTCTGCTATGCATTTAACTGGGTCTACAGCTCCATTTCTGTTTTGAAAATTAAAAGCCAACAAAGCCCCGAAGCTAAGGGGACCGCGTGCATGTTTACAGTCAAACGTGCTGAAGAGCTTGCTAGGTCCAGGGCAGGGAGCCAGCACCCTGCAGGCTGAACCTCTGCTTACTAAGCAACAGCCTGATCCACTCTGATTTCAACCAGCAGGGGACTTGCCATGAATTCCTTTGAATATGGGGCCCCCAAAGGCGTCTTCACTTTATAAGGAGGATGAATATTACCAGGCATATTGTATACAAATGAGGAGGAAGCCTCATTAAGTCAAGCGAAATTGGCACTTTCCAGATTGTCAGCCAAATATAAATTTAAGGAGATACACGGAAAATTTCCACTATCACCAGTCACCAGGAGTTTAAAAAGTAAATATTTCCCCCCACCCTCCATGCTTGTTCTCGTCTATCACTGACTGCAGGGTCTGGTGCGGAGCAGCGCCCTTGCACCTGCGCTACACAGCTGCGGGACCCAGCATCCCTGTGCTTGGGGGCAGCAAAGAGTCACTGGAACAAATGGATGAAAAGTCTCGATTTTGCCCAACAGCTTTTCACCTTTTTTGAGAGGATGAGAAGGGAGCTGGAATGGAAGATGAAAGTGGATGGAGAATCAAAGTCCTGAGTACTACCAATAAAATCAATTTTGATATGCAAATGTGGTACTAACGCCCCATCCAGCTCAGGCTGAACATGCTGGAATGATTCTTGGAGTCAAAAAGAGTTGGACTGCCCAGAAATGAAATCTCAAATAGACGTTTCCATGCAGTTTTTCAAAGGGAAATAGTAAAAGGAAGATTTTTCTCATACGTTTAAATTAGGTACTTATTAACAAAACGTTTCTCTATGGAAAAAAATCCAAAGCAAATAAATAATTTCACCTTTCTTCAACATGTGGATATTTTCATTTTGTTTAGAAAAGCTTCATGGCTAATACTTAAACACAAATATGTTCTTCAATTTTTTTTAAGAAAGCAAAAGATTTTTTTTTTTTAAATCTACTTTAGCAAATACCAATCTGGATTAGTCAAATAAGTAATTGACATGGGGAAATGGTTCCTTATATGACCGAGAACTCAGCATTTCATTCTACATCTGTAATAAGTACATGCCTCAAGGATGTCTTCCTTTGGCGGCTTCTTCCAGAACTTTAGCACTTGGGCATGACAGAGCTAAGGATTCAAGTGCAACATCACTCATTTCAAGTTATTTAAGTACTTTGCTAAGTTAGTGCCCTTATAACTACATAATTGCATTAATAATAGTAATGAAACAATTATACAAAACTGTGAATTTCTCTATTTTAAAAGCACTTGAATTGAGCATGGTGCAGGTATGTTTGAATTAGCAGTGCCCACATTGTCACCAGCTACAGGGAAACTGCATGGGTTTCACAGTGTGCTCAGGCTCATACCGTTCCATCGCTCTCACACCCCAGTTAATATTTCTAGCCAGTGCCGAACAGCATGTTCATATTAGCACTAATTTGGGATGCCCTGCACCATCCAGCAGAAAGCAGAGGCCAGAAATAAAAACACAAGGAGGCACTTAGTGAGATAGTTCAAATGCTGTTGTGTTAAACCCGCAAACTGCAGTATCCAGTCACTTATATTTTGTATAAAACAACGTTTTCTCATGTAAGCAAAAGATGCAAGAAAATAGTATGAGCTGACGGCTGCTCCCCAAAAGACTTGCTTCATCTAAAGAAAGCCCCGTTGATCTTAGAACTGGGATAACTTTTTTCTCTCTTTTTCCTATTCCAGGAGACGCTGGATTTTTTTCAGTCCTTATGTAAGCAACTAATTTCTGTGAGTGCTGCTCCCAAATGGACTAACGATCCATTCCTAAGGAGTAAGTAAGGTAACATCAACACATCTTTTGTTATATAAAGACTCTGATGCAAAAAATACTGACATCGAACCAAAGCCTACTTTCAGATGAAGTGAATGCAGAGTCTCAAATGTTCAATTCTGAACACATCTGTCTTTGCATCATTCTGACTCTCTGTCCCGTGGCAGCAAGAGAGGCTGTGAGTAGGGGAACCCCAATTGTTTTCACAGGCCTGCTCTTCGTCTCTGACCAAGATGCAGGAATACATTACTCAGAGTAAGGTACAAACATAGCCATTATACTTTCAGAAAATCAAGCACAGCAGAAGGCAATGGAAGCAGACATCACAAATAAAGGCAGAAGACCCTTTTATTTCGCATAGACAAAATGCAAAGAGTGTCTCATTAAATTAATATTAAAAAAAACCAAACTGATTCCCTCACTCCACTGACAGCACTCATCCTAATTAACAACAAAAAAAAGAACAGTCAAGGACCCATATTCTAATTTAAAAAAAAAAAGTGCAAACATGACAAAAGACTTTTTGTTTTCCCAAATCAATGTTCCTGTTGAATTCACAAATAAGTGATTTTTTTTGTGATTTTTTTTCCCCCTTTTTAATCTTGTCTGATGGAACTTCCAGTTAAAATGTTTTAGTTAAGTCTCCATGCACTTCGTAGAAAATCAGTAAAAACACAAATGCTTGTGAAGATCAGAAAACTGGACTCTTTTACCCAAAAATTCAGACGTCCAGTCAGATGAAGCTCACATTCAGACAGAAAAAAAGCAAGAGAGTCTTTGCACTGTCTGTCGTTCATATTTTTTTTTTTTGTCAAATATTTTGGCAATCTTCTTCTTTAATTATAAATATTGGAATTCAATAAAAAAAAGGTAGCTTTCATTGGATTTTTTTCATTGTAAGTATTTACAGCCACTGTCCAGCCATGCTCTTTTTGTTATACCAGGGTGTAAGATTTTGCGTAGGGATTGTTGCCTTTCAAGTGGCCCCGGGAGTCCAGCAGGGATTCTTGGGAGCTGCTCATTTTTGCTGCCTGTCCCAGCTCAGCTCCTTCTCGCTGAGGTAACGTTGCCACAGCACCAGGTTGCCAAGACTGTACTTCCCTCGTGGAGGACGTCTCCATCGGTATTGGCTCCAGGACCGTGGGACGCTTCAAGGTTCGGCTTTTCTGCGGCTCCAGGCAGGCTTGCCCCAAACCCAGGTCTCTGCTCGCGCCCTGCACGCCACGGTTTAGTAAAAAGTCCATTCTAAGATAGGGTGGCAAATGCATGAGATCACCTGGGAAGGCAAAAACGAAAAACAAGTCCTTACTTACAATCGTGTGCTGTGTTAAATCTGCCTACTGGCTGGGGGATTCAAGTGGATGGATGCAGCCATGAAATATGGTTCCAAAGCAGAATAGCTGTAATCCAAGTACAGTGTTTATCACACATATATTGCTTGTTGGCTGTTTACTACACTGTGATCTTACAGAAGGCAAGGGTAATGAATGGGTCAAGGAGCTCCTTTTGCATATGTTCCTAAGCACTGTATTAGGATTAATATTACCTCATATTACCTTATACTACAAGCATTCTTGTCCTAATAGAACAATATTCACCCGCCATCCATCAAAACTGCATTTAAACCACCCAGTGACTTTCTACCACTAACAGTCTATGGCTAGCAATGTGCTTCTGTGTTCACTTGCAAGCAGGAAATCGAGGCAGAGAGAGACAGGGAACATTTTGTGGCAACAAAATGCATTGGGGATGGCATCCTAACTCTTGTACGAACCTTCCTCCCTTCTGTTGGGAAGCCCTTGACAACAGGCATGTAGCACTGCGCACATGAAAAACAGAGCATATATGCAAGAAATAGTCAGTGAGCCTTATCAGGACCCCTAGTCTGTTATTTCCCCTGATTCCTGGGCATTTCTGACAGCAGCCTGTTCAGTCCAGAGGATTTATCATTGCAAAGCTCTTGCAGTCCTTTCCCCAGCACCACATAACCCTTCCTGGCTGGTGAGTTCAAACTGGTGCCTTGGACCTGCTATCTGCTAATTTTCATTTCTTTACAGACTTCCGCAAATGTATAGCTTTCTTCTTATGGTTGATATCAAAACGATACAGATGGGATGCATCTCAAACGTTTAAAATAGAAGCCTCTTTTGGTACTACCACTCCTGTGTCTACATGAGCTATTTGCAGCAGTAGAAATTAAGGCAGATCTGTGCCAGTAGTATGCACAGTGGACCAAGAAAGCGCTTCTGGATACAAGGCTGTGCTAAAACAATGTACTGCAAAGATTTCCTTTTTCCTAACCAGGTTAAAAGCTGCCTAATACGTTAAACTACAACAGGTCCTTTGCTTTCTCATATAAGTCAAGACACTGCAACTCTTACCTAAAAGCCTAACAGCTTGTGCTCTATCCATGATTTCAGGTCACAGACAGAGAATTGCCGAGCAGTTACATTTGGGCAGCATCAGTGTTTATTCCGCCAGAACTCCCCCAGGCCCTGTCTGACACCATATGTTTTATTCTAGTTCCATCTCCAGCACAGATGCATGGTACACTCTGTTTAACCCCCATGCAGTAAGATGTGCGTCTCTTAAGATTAGGCTGACATATGTACCACAGTAACATTTATGCAAGGTTGGAGAGAGAGGGGGAAGTTTGTGCTCATAATCCTGCTGATTACCACTTGAAAAATGAACTGTGAGAACATTAATCGATCTTACTAATTTATCCTACTTTCCTACAGTACCTTTCATGCCAAACACATTACGCATATGGGACTTTCTTCAGCTGAGAGAGCAACGTACCTACCACTCGTGTAAAGTATATAGCAATATGGGCACACAAACTGGCAAACACAGGTAGGCGCAGATTCCTTCCACTTAACTACAGGCATCTAACTGAGCTGCCCATGGGTATGTCTACGCTGTCCAAAAGCTCAGCTGCCCAGTGTGCACCTGCATCCTGATCCCCTGAAAGCCCCCGCTGCATTTAAGTTATTTTGCTTCTGGGTTCCCTTTTGCAGTGAGACCTTCCAAAATGCAGCTGCGGGGACAGTTTGAAAAAAAACCTACAGGCTGCACGAAGGAGATGGTAAAACAAGGGGAGCAGCCCTCAGCAGCGAGGATGGGAAGCATTTCGCATTGTTCGGTGGTGCTCTCTGTGGCATAAGTCTTTGGCAGCACAGACATACCCTAAAGTAGGAGCCTTACGGCTACCCATGCCTCTAGAGTCAATGGAGAAGGACAAGCACAGGAGGGGTGGACTGGTCCTCCTGGGTAGCCCTCTTGGTCTGCTAATGAAAGTGATTAGGGCCTTCGCTTGTTTATAGCAGGTGTTTATAGCTGTGTGGGCCTCAATGAAGGCAAACAGCAAAAAACGCTTTGGAAATGGTCTTAGTAGGTAGAAAACTTTTATGACCAGCTATATGCCAAAGTAGTATCTTTCCTCTTGTCAGAGGAGCCAAGAGATATGTTGGGTCTGCCAGGGGTCAGAAAGAGGAATTTCTCTTGCGCTCTGACAGTTGTCAACTCGGCAGCACAGGGGTCCCTTGGCCCTGGCAGAAGAGTACCAATTTTTGGCACTGAGTCTCTATCCCTATCTCCTGCACAAACAGGCTTTTTCCTCAAAGTCTCTGTCATCCTAACCCCGACTGCGAGAGGCTGTGCTTCTGCCAACCAATGCCAGATGGTATAATGTGCAGTGCTTTGTTAAGACTAGCTAGGTCATTTCACACACATTCCCTCTTACTACTTCATTTCATGTTCTACAGTCTACTTTTGGCAGAGGAACTGATGCAGAGCAGACTCCAGAGCATGGCTCAATTGGACCTTCCAACTGTCATGCTGGATAGCCATTCCAAGATCTTGATACACCGCTATGTCTTGAGAGCAATGGGTACGCACGGGCTGTAAAAAAGATAAGTGTTGAACCTTAACGAGATGAAGGTTTTTCTGCAAGCTACTGCCTAGACATTTCTCAATGCATTTAAGAGCTTCAGGCTATGGGAAAAAAAGAACTCTTATTTTCTCCCTAAATCCACATAGGAAGGCATAGTCAATAATCTATGTAAACAACAGGCAATCATTTTACTGTCTAAATTGTCTGAATGACTGGAGGCAGAGTTTTAACAGGATTATACTAATGAGAAACTAGAGAGTGTAACTTGTTCTCCAAAGCTAGATATACAGTGCACAAATCTCTGACATCATTGCTTTACACAGAGCACTAATTATATGGGATGACGTATACATTTTCGTACTATAAAACGTGCCAGTACTGTTTCTTATCTCCAAGCAGCATCTTTCCCTGCAACTGCTTGTAAAATAACCGGATGATTAAAATCACTGGAAAAAAAATTTTGAGAATGTAACTTTTTCTTCTTTGCTAGGATTGAAACAGTATCACAGGATGAGAAAAGTATTTGATTTATAAGAACTAATGTGTTGCTGACTAAAAAAACATAGTCTTTGAAATTATAACCACAGGGATTCACTTTTGGCATTCCTACATCAATTCTGAAGGTATTTTAAAGAAGAGCAAAAGGCTCTCACCATAGCTATGGAGTTGCATGGAAAGATTTCAGTTCACATCCTTCTGGACACAGCAGTATAGACATTTTTCAGTTTCTTACTCTTCTGTTAAAGCATAATTCAGCTGAACAATAAATTTTTCAGGCAAAGCATTATGAAGTTTCAGGATGGTTCATTGCCTTTGATGCTCTAATTACCTCTTTTCAACGGTGTGTGCGCCTTATTAGTAATGAAAGCAAACCTTTCAAGTGCATGAGCACTGCAAATGAGCATGTTTAATAATTCATGCACTTAGGCTTAATTAGTACAAAACCATTCAAAAAATAAGGTTTTCTTATGCATTTTTTTAAAAGGGGAAATTTGCTGCATTGAGAAACACTGAGTTTGTACACAAATAATAATCATCCAGTCAAATCTGAATGCAGTAATTTAAGCCAGAGCTACCTCATTCTTTTCCTTTTACATTTTAAAAAGTGTTATCGTCAGTAAATATTTGTAAACAAATGCTAAGAGTCACTTACTACTATATTTTCCTTAAACAACACATTCTACCAGAAAGAGTGTGTTTTCTAAGTTTATGCAGCACTGGGCAAAAATGTGGTGCCTTTATTTCTGTACAGCTAAGTTGATGTAAAAAAGCTTTGCAGAAACATGTACACTTTTATGCCTCTTGTGGAGGACAGCTCCGGGTGTGGGAAGGTTTGGGATGAGTCTGGCAGGCTACATTGTGGAAAAAAATCCTAATGCTCATTTTTACTACGACTTTATTCAAGATAGCTATCTTGTTTGCAGAACTAAACCAAATTGAGACGCGCTCCATTTTCACTAAAGATTTACCTCATATCTCTTTCAAATGCCAGAAAGTTTTCATGGGTTTTGTTTCCACCTACTCTGGAAAAGCGAAGGATTTGTGCTATGATAAATACAGGGATCATCACAGACTGTAAAAAAAGATAAGTCTTACCAAGTTGTCATGTGATAGCTATATGCATTTTCTCATGACTCATGACTTCTACGAAAACAAAAGAGATTTTCTCCACTACGCTCCAACACAGATAACCTCAGTGATGACGACTGCCTGATGATTTTCAAGTTTTGATCGTCATGTGAAGAAAATTCCATGCTAATTTGAAAGATTATTATAGAAAAGTTTAACGTAGGGCTTGCAAATATGACAGAACATTTTACCAAAGGTAAGAAGATGGGGTGAAGAGGGCATCCAGACTACTAATTGAAAAAGGGAGTGGGCAATAAAAGATCTTAAAGTATCTCGTTGATTGCTACGCGTAATGCGGAGCACGCAGGAACACCCATGCTGCAACATCTGCGATCATGCCACAGCTGAATCACCGTATCTGCGTTAGCACAGGCAAAGTGCCATGCCGATGCATACATGTTGGTTTGGGATCTGAACGTGTAACTCTTCACAACACTGCAGTGTTGCGTGGATGTGCAAGCACTGGGCTAGGCATCTCTTGCCATGCTCTGTGTTGGGAAGTGGAAGCACTCTGTACCTCATGGGACATTATATTTTCATCTGAAATTAAGTAAAGGAGGAGAGAGAGCTGCTGACAGCTAGCTTTTAGTTCAGGTTTGTGCTAATTAAAAGAAAAGGTTAGTGGGGCTTTCCACTCACTGGCACAATAAATAAAGCAGTGTAGTAGCTGCCGATACGCACAGGCCGGTTTCTTATGAAAAGACTGCCAATAGGAGCAGCTAATTTTAGAAACCAGGAGAGAGTGGAGGGTT